TAAGTTAATACATATATACTAATAGAACGCTTAGGAAAAAGTACATATGACATGAATAAAACCAGTTAAAAACAATGCAATGCGGCGTAACGCATAATTACTAAAAGCAAATTGAAAAAAAAACAATACAAAAATGTGGTCATCAGATAAAAGAAGATCGCTTAGAAAAATATATGTATAGTACGATTAACTATACACATACAAACAAAACAATAACAAATGTACAAAAGTTGGACAGAGAAATAAATAAATAAACATTTAAGCTATATCATTTGCCAAATATTCATCCGTGCTAAAGATTGCGTTTTTTATTAAATTATACTTGTGTTTGCTATGAAAAACATCAATATCCAATGATTTTATATTGTTGAGCAGCAGATTAAAAAAAGTTAATGCCATAAAAGTTTGTTCCAACTCTTGATTTTTCTTGATGGTAATTATTTTGACAAATGTTTCTATTTCGTGTTTCATAATTGTGGTTATCACTATGAGTGGGGAAGGTACTAATGTTACTTTTGATATATATGAACAACTCAAAATATACGCGCATGGAAGCGTTAGTATCGCCAATTTAATGAATTCAGCCTTGCAGGGGTATCGGATACAGCGCCTTTGCATGCCAAACACTTTTTGCATATATGTGGCGAGTGTCCCCAGACCAAAATTGCATATGTCATTTTAGATTGGAAATATGCATGATAAGGAGTTAATAAGACTTTATCACTCTACCCTCTAGACTACGTATGAGATATATAACTCTGGACAAACGATCCACCACACAGCGAGTATGCACCTCCCATGTCAGAGTACAGTCAATATGTACTCCTAGCAATTCCACTGATTGAGCGAATTTCAACTCATGACTTCGTAAGCTTAATATTATAGTCTGAGTGGCAATGGTCCCAGTACGGAACCCTGAGGAACTCCATGGATCACTGATCTGGTATCAGAGTTACAGCCATTGAAACGTACTAGTTCTTCTCGGTCGGATAAGTAAGAGTCTAAAATCTTGATGCTAGAAGGAATTTTTTTATTAAAATACTATTGCAGCCAATCAAAAACCTTAGATAAATGGAAAAGGTTCGCCTTGGTATGAAGATGGTTCTCAAATCCTTCGTTAACAAGATCTATAAGACAATTGATTGCTATAGTAGTAGATCTGTTCCGTCTAAATCCAAACTGCTTGTGATTAAATAATTGACTTGACTCGAGATAAGAGGTAAGTTGATCCTTTAGCACAGTATGAGATTAGAGAAATTGGTCGGTGGTTGGAGAGCACATCACCCGATCCGTTTTTAAGTATTGGAATGACTTTGGATATCTTGACAATTTTAGGAAAAGTACTATTTCGAACACAAACATTAAAAAGTCTACTGAGTGGAACGATAATCAGATTCATTAAGGTCTTTATAATTTTTGAATTCAAGTTATGTACATCTCTGCTCTTAGAGTTTTTTTAGTGATAAAATCGCAGATCTGACTTGATTGTAGGATAGTTCTCTTAACAAGAAACGGTCGATGTTGTTAATATGAACCAAGTAGTCTAGTGCATCACGATTTGCTGGACGAATATTGTCAATGAGCGTCTGCGCTATACTTAAGAAGTACGGATTGAATTCGTTAGCATTCAAGATGTAACTTTTGTTTTGATTATTCGCTGGAGCATTGGATCTAATAATATTCCACATTGCTTGTTGCTTGAATTGTTTATGTACGAGTCGTGTCCTTGTTTTTTGCTATTATTGATAGCCTGTCGATATTGTGATCTATACTCGTTCATAGCTTGTTTGGTAACTATTTGTGGGTCAAACTTGTACCAATCCATGAGGAGCCTCAAACGGTCTCTCATAGCACGCAAGTGACTGTAAAACCAATTTATTTTTCTTCCCTCTTTATTACCCCTACCATAGATATGTGATTGATATGGAAGGCATATGGATATTTTCATTGTACGAAATTATACAAGTATTTGAGGAGCTCCCTGTTGATACAGTTCTCGATTAGTTCACTGATTGTTGACTGCAGATCTTGGGAAACAAATATTTTCCGTCTCTAATGCATATGGCTGGCACTAAAGTCGAACGATTGAACCGCCGATCCTCTCACGCAATATTTAAAAACGCTCTCTCAACCTGGATATTTTCATTGTACGAAATTATACAAGAGCTGTTATTCAAAGAGAGATAATCGTTGATGGGCAGGATGATATTTATGGACCCACATTACGCATGCCAGCGAAGAGCCTGAGAATCATCTGAAAATGCACTATACCGGGTGTTTCAGAATCGTCCACAGAATAAAGGATAGCAGATACGAAGGTATAGGGGTTTCGCGCATAGGGTTACCAAATACAGAGTGTTTTCAAAGTTCAGTCATTTATTTTAACTGCTTGTAGGACTCATCAAAAGGAGTTGATATAAATGTATCAAAAATCACCTATATAAAAGTTGCATAATAAAAGAAATAGTAAAAGATTAAAAATCGAAAAAAATAAGCATGTTATTACACAGATTTTTTGATATCTTGATCACTGCTATGTAAGATCTTAGCGTCTTTAACACGCTTATATTGGCCTGTATGTGGATATTTCTCAACAAATTTAGAAATTTCATTTAGCATTTCTTAAAAAAAAAGATGAAAATATATCCTTTTTTGCAGAAATATAAAGTTTTACTTTAGTGAGGTTCATCGATAATGGAGGTCCTCCATATTTTTGTGTGTGTTATTAAAAAAAATGAAATGAGGGAATGGGAGGATGGGGGTGATGATTTTTACAACAATTTGATGCTGAATTTCAATACATTGATAAGTTCTGCGAGAAGCTCTAAGAAATATGTATTTGCTCCTCAGTCCGAATTTACTTCTTATAAAAAAAATTGGCAACCCTAGCTGTAGCCTGAAATATAGACATTTCAAAGTTATTTCCCGGTACAAAAAGTAGCCTACACATGTGCTATTCCAGACTAATCTATCTCTGTTCCAAATTCCATCCAGATAAGCTCAGCCATTTTGGCGTTATTAAGTAGCAAAAATCTCACACTTTCTCATTTACAACATTACTCATCTATAATATTAGTGGGGACAAGGATAAAACAGCCCATATACAAACATCAAGGCTCACCACTAAACATCAAATTTAAAAGTAATTTCTAAACATACGAACACATATTTGAAAAAGTGCACGTGCTATAAAGCCGGTATAATAACCTGCCACTGCAAATACAAGAATGCAGTGATTACAGATTGTGTAAGATAGGAGTTGAAATTTTATTAATAACAAAATCATGTTAAAAGTTTTGGTACAAAATATTTATCGTTTTTTTTAATGATGAAATTTATTTAAACACTAAATAGTTATCATACGAGGGATGTCTTTTAAGTTTTGCATATAGAAACATAGTAGGCCGCGCGGATCCAACGTTAGTACAGAATCTTAACCTCACTCTTTAGTAAACTTAATTTCAAAGTTTCACAACAATACGTGCAATGTTCTCACTACAGTGAATTTTTAAGTCTCACTAAGTCATTAGAAAAATTATCGCAACAAGAATGCCTTGCTGAGTTACTGTCTATTTTCGGCAACGAAGCGCCACATCAGTCGACAATTTCCCGTTGGTATGGAGAATTCAAACGTGGACAGGTGAGTCTTAGCGACGATCCCAGGGTGGGTGCACCAAAAACGGCAGTCACCCAGGAAAACGTCGATGCTGTGCGAAAACTCATCATTGAAGATATACATGTGACATATCGCGAGATTGAGGCGTCCTTGGAGATCTCAAAGACCTCAATTCAAAAAAATTTCACATAAAGAATTAGGAGTAAGAAAATTAGTTTCTCGTTGGATACCCCACCTGTTGACTGAAGAGCAGGGTTAATTGGTGTGAAAAAACGCTTGACCGTTGCAATTCCGGAAACTCAAAAAATGTGTACAGCATTGTTAGTGGTGACGAATCGTGGATTTACTGTTATGAACCAGAAAATAAACGACAGTCGGCTGTTTGGGTGTTCCAAGGTAAAGAAAAGCCAACAAAAGTCATCCGTTCTCGAAGTGTTTCGAAAAAGATGGTCGCGACATTTGTGTCAAAAGCGGGACATATTGCAACAATTCCTCTTAATGAGCAAATAACTGTTACTGCGGATTGGTATACCACCATTTGTTTGCCAAAAGTCATCACCGAGCTTCGAAAAATCAACCCCGAAAGAAGAAACATCCTCCACCAAGGCAATGCAAGCTCGCACACAGCCCAAAAAACAAGGCAGTATTTAACGGAAGAAAACGTGGAATTATTGGACCATCCTCCATATAGTCCCGATCTAAGTCGTAACGATTTCTTTACTTTCCCGAAAATTAAAATCAGACTGCGTGGTCAAAGGTTCCAGTTACCAGAAGAAGCAGTGGACGCATTCAAAATGCCGTTTTGAATCTTCCAGCAAACGAATGGAATAAGTGCTTCGAAAATTGATTCAAGCGCATGCAGATGTGTATTAATCTTCGTGGAGAATACTTCGAAAAACAATAGTCATTTAAAACTGCCTACCGTGTTGTTTTATTTCCATATGCAAAACTTAAAAGACATCCCTCGTATATAACAACTCAGTACTTCACTAAACTATCGAATTATATGGAGTGGCCCTTTCTGCTCTACCAGACGCAACTTTCTTCGAATGCTTCGCTCTCATGAGGTCCTGAACGGAATTCAGATGAATTTCTCTCAGTTTTTCGTAAATTCGCTGTCTTAATTGCTTATTCTTCTATGGAAGAGATTAATAAAGAACTAAAGAGCTCTTCAATCTAGATTGCTATATTTATTTTGTGTTATGCTTTTACGTTATTTAGGACTGCTTTTTGGCACAGTCATTACATACCACTTTTTAAACTATTGTGGTTCAAGGAAACCGCACTGTTAAAGATTGCTGATAGAAGACAACCGCAGTTTCACTTACGCGAAGCTTAAACTCCAGTTCACTGCCACAAGTGAGTGTATAACTAATAAACTTACCTTTGAGAAACCGATGTTAGGTGTTGATGTTTTGTGTAATCCCACATCGTGACATTTGAAAGCTGAAACAAATGTACGCATATAATTATTATAAAAGCTATTATTTCAGAATAAGAAGTATGGTGTTCATAAGCCTGATCAAGGGCGAAGCGACAGAAATGAAATGTTTCATTAAGACTCTACAACAATAGTATATTTATTTCTATACTGTAGTAAATGAGACAAAATAAAACAAAAACATTTTGACCTGAGTAAGGCATTTGATTGCGTACAAACAGCTATTTTATTAAGAAAATTAGAAGAGTATGGATTTAGGCATCCCATAAATGACTGGGTTCAGTCCTTCGTGATAGATCGAAAAATTTGTGTTAAAATCGACAATGTTTCATCTCATTGTGAAAATATCAATATTGGTGTCCCTCAAGGTGGAGTGTTATCATCGTTTTTATTTCTTTTATTCATCAATGACTTGGATGAATATATCAACGTTGATGATACTCTCCTTGTGTTGTTTGCAGATGATACGTCCATAAGTATAGCGGCTGACACACCGAAAGAACTTGAGTTGAAGGCCAACTCAATATTAGAAAAGTTTCAGTCTTGGATAACGAAAAATAAGCTAATCGTTAATGAAAGCAAAACCAAATTAATATATGTTCTGTTATAAACGTAAACTACCAACTGTTATCACGTTGAAGTTAAATAATTCACTTCTTGACAGGGTTGAACAAACAAAGTTTTTAGGGGTAATAGTGGATGAGAGACTCACCTGGAAGCGATCATCTAGATTACGTCTTAAAAATACTAAGATCAGATTATTTTGCGGTGCGTAACTTGAAAAACATAATGTGTACCAAGGAGATACCAAATGTCTATTTTGCAATCGTATATCCTCATTTGAAGTACATTGTTCTCTGCTGGAGTTGCTCTGTGGGTGCTCAGCGCGCATTCATATTTCAAAAGAGGATTATACGGTTAATATTTTCGTTGAGCCCTCTATAGACTTGTAGTACGATCTTTCAATCAAATCATCTGTTGACATTTCCCAGGGTTTTTATACTTGGGGCTTGCTTATTCGTAAAAGGACCAGCAAAAATACAACCTTCGCAACAATAAAGACATATATAATGCTAATTACAATCTAACCGCTTATCGTAAAAGCCCGAGTATAGGTGTGCCGCTATATACAATCATCTACATAATGATATCAAAACCTTAGTTTCTACTAAGTCTTTTAAAAAACGTGTGCAAGCATTTTTGGTAGAAAAATGCTATTATTCTGTTAATGACTTTGAATCGATTTTGTCGTAACTTTGTTTCATTGTATTCAATGTATTTTGACGTTTCATATCCGCGAGGCTGACATGAATAAAAGTTATTATTATTATTATCATTATTCAAAAGCAAACTTTTATTCAGCCGTCGATAAACACTTAAGAAATATTCGGTTTTATCTCTCCTAATCATTAAACGATAATTAAGCTCCTTCGTCTCAAATTTTCAAATAAAAGCATTACACCCTTTCCCTTCTGCTGTTAAAATGTAACACAGTTTTATTTACAATCGACAAAAAGTACGTTTAAGCTTGTCGTTCTTTCTTTGAGGTCTGAACAAAAGCTTCTTCTTAAAATCGTTTTCTTTTCATTTCTACCGATTTCCATATATTCTATTAGGAGGACATGAAACTTCTCACTTTATTTTTACATCTTTTTTTTTGAAAAAGGCTTACTTCTGAATTCGATATCGATATAAATCATGTTACGTAAATACGGGAGACGTATTTATATGTATCAATATTCTTGTTCAATAGATTCAAGGAATAAAACGTACCTACAGTGCCGTATTTAGGTAAAAAGTAGCAAAGTTCAAGCCTTTTTCAAATTTTGACGCCAATACATTTATTTTATGATTACAATTAGAAAATATATCACTAATTACGTTATTTAACAGTAGTAGTTATTTTTCCACATTGTCAATTATTTCATATTAATTACATTTCCTAAGCATACAAGCCGTAAATCAATTTATCAACTTAAAAAAAAACAGTAATTTACTAACTATTTTGCTTTTATTCTCTGTATGATACATGTACTACCTTTTTACCTTTTATAACCTATTATGATGTTTACTTATTTAGTTCTTTTATGTGATAGTTCTATTATTTGTAAGTAAGTACTTTCGTTATGAATAATTACATTTGCTCCAAAAGAATAATTTTGAAAAATATTTTTCGTTCAACTTAACATATATATATATATATACACACAATTAATTGTTAATTAGGAAATTGGCAAACTTTTTAGGCTTTAGTTAACTCTTTTGACGGTAATCTCTAGCTTTCGGCAATTCTCTATGGAGCCTTCATCAGGAGCTGAAAACACAATTACGATGCTAGCAATCAATACGGGAAAGATTTAAATTGTGGTGTTTCAAAACGAACGGCAACAACCTCAACGACGAGTAAGTTGTTTGACAATTCAAATCTCTCCTGTATTGGTTGCTAGCATCGTAATTATGTTTTCAGCTCCTGATGAAGGCTCCATAGAGAATTGCCGAAAGCTAGAGATTACCGTCAAAAGAGTTAACTGAACCCTAAAAAAGTTTGCCAATTTCCCAATTAACAGTTAATTGTATGTTTTGCCCAACTGGTCGTGGCAATGGCAATGACTACTGCTCATATATATATGTGAGAAAATTATCATTTTCCTAGGGAAAATCAAACACTTCATAACTTCTATTACATGTATTCACTCCAGCATCTGTTACAAGACTGACTATGACTAACCACCTTGCCCACAAAAACACATCGCAGCACATCGGAATATTTACGGTCGCCAGAAGTAAACAAAACATATTCAATAGACAAAACATATTCAATAGACAAGACATATTCGATGGCGTAGCGTAGCGATTCAGCGAAAGGCTCACACGGCCAATCCTGACACTAAATTCGTTCTCGAATTTTACCTCCTGACCCATGTTACAAGAACACCATTTAGACTATATAATGTAGCAAAGAGCACGTCATTTCAACGTTTAGACCCTCACGATCTAAACGCAAAGAGCACGTCTTTCAGCTTTTAACGATACATCACTCACTATTGCAAAGAGCACGTCATTTCAACGATCAAGTCCTAATGACCTTGTCGCAAAGAGTACGTCTTTCAACAAGTAGCAAGGTTTTTTAACCAGCAAGGTAAAGAGCACGTCATTTCAGCAGTCAAGGTCTCATTACCTTGATGCAAAGAGCACGTCTTTCAACCCAAAACTTTTTTTTTTTTTTACTAATTTATTTTGTCAGGTTTTTGTAATATCAAGGCTCACACGGTTATAGCCTAACAAATACTTTATAATAACAACAACGTAAATCATAATCATTATTCATGTCTCTAAATATAACATAACAACATTCTCATAATACCAACAAAAGAATGTACAAAAAGGGATAAACAAATAACAATGGTTATTAAATGTTATCTTATTCAAATTCACCTGGCCATACCCGCATCATATCATTAGCAACAATTCTTTTGCGATTGGTCGCCAAATTTTTAATTTCTACTCGGTCATTAGGCAACAACTGTAAGATTTCGAATGGACCTTCGTATCTAGGGTCTAGTTTAGCTAGGTGCGAATTTCCAGATAGATGGATGGAAAACTATGTCTCCTACTTTAAAACTGTTAGTTGTTTTTCGGCTTTTATCAAATCTGTCTTTTGACTCTAAACCGCAACGCAGAGAGCGTTCGTAGGCAGTTTTACGATCATTAATTAAATTTTGAGCAGTAGTCGTCACTGGTTTTATACTCTCTGTTAAATTCTGAATGTCCATGGTATCCATAAGTTGCCCTGTTAACAAATAGAGCGGGGAAAATCCCGTGGTTTTTTGGATAGTAGTATTAAGGGTCAGTTGTAACTTGGGGAGAACGCTCGCCCATTCTGACTTATTATTATTGACATTTACTCTGAGCAGGTCTAGAACTGTTGAGACGTATCGCTCTACCTGCCCATGTCCGCGTGGGGCACTTTTGGCAATTAGATGTTGGGTAATGTTTAATTTTGAGAGTAACTCTTTTACTTGTTCGGTTCCCCACTCAAAATCGACTCCTTTTTTTGTTAGGTTTGTAATACAAGCTGTGCGCGTTGAAAATTCAGGGATGTACTTGCGAAAGTACCCGGCTAGGCCCATAAATTGGCGGACCTGTTTTACATTTTTTGGATCGGGCGCATTGAATAAAGCTTTTAATTTTCCTTCGTCGGGCCTTACACCATCTTCGGAAATTTCTCGACCAAGATAAACAATTTTTTTCTGAAAAAATTTGCATTTGTTAATGTTTAAGCTGAAGCCCGCTGAGGTAAGGGACGCTAGGACCCGATCGAGTTTTTCTAAACCTGTCTGGATGGTTTTTGATGGAATGATTACGTCGTCCATATAAACCAGCGCATCGGTATCTTTGAGCTTACCCAGAGCTTTACAAATCGCCCGTTGAAATATTGCAGGGGAATTCGATAGACCAAATGGTGAACGCAGGTATTCAAAATGCCCGTCAGGCGTGACAAAAGCTGTTTTGGAAATAGAGTTTTCAGCCATAGGAATTTGATGAAACCCCGCTGCCATATCGAGAGTCGTAAAATACTTGCTTCCCCCCAGCTGATCAATTTGGTCGTCTATACGTGGTAATGGAAACCGATCTTTAATGGTTATTCCATTAAGGGCGCGATAGTCTACGCATAAACGTCGGCTGCCATCTTTTTTGTACACCAGAATAACTGGACTAGCAAAAGGCGACGTGCTTTCACGTATGATATTGTTTTGCAAGAGGTCGTCAATAATATCTTTTGCCTTTTCTCGTTCGGACAATGACATTCGGTAAGGGTTATAACAAATTATTTTATCGGTTTTTAATTTGATTTCCATTTCACCGGTTGTTACCGCCCTCACGGAATTACCAACAGTTATAGAATCGGTATATTTTGATAATAATTTCAACAAGGCGTCGAAATCATGTCCATTCAGTGGTGTTTGAATTTTCTCGGGAGAAATTGTTACGTTTTGAATCTTTT